GTAACTGAGTCAGATTTGTAAGCCTCCTTGCTCGCACACGCTTTTTCAGTTCTGCCCACATGTTCTATAGGACTGAGATCAGGGCTTTGTGATGGCCACTCCAATACCTTGACTTTGTTGTCCTTAAGCCATTTTGCCACAACTTTGGAAGTATGCTTGGGGTCATTGTTCATTTGGAAGACCCATTTGCGACCAAGCTTTTACTTCCTGACTGATGTCTTGAGATGTTGCTTCAATATATCCACATAATTTTCCTTCCTCATGATGCCATCTATTTTGTGAAGTGCACCAGTCCTTCCTGCAGCAAAGCACCCCCACAGCATGATGCTGCCACCCCCGTGCTTCACGGTTGGGATGGTGTTCTTCGGCTTGCAAGCGCCCCCTTTTTCCTCCAAACATAACGATGGTCATTATGGGCAAACAGTTCTATTTTTGTTTCATCAGACCAGAGGACATCTCTCCAAAAACTATGATCTTTGTCCCCATGTGCAGTTGCAAACTGTAGTCTGGCTTTTTTATGGCGGTTTTGGAGCAGTGGCTTCTTCCTTACTGAGCGGCCTTTCAGGTTATGTTGATATAGGACTAGTTTTACTGTAGATATAGATACTGTCGTACCTGTTTCCTCCAGCATCTTCACAGGGTCCTTTGCTGTTGTTCTGGGATTGATTTGCACTTTTCGCACCAAAGTACGTTCATCTCTAGGAGACAGAACGTGTCTCCTTCCTGAGCGGTATGACAGCTGCGTGGTCCCATGGTGTTCACACTTGCGTACTATTGTTTGTACAAATTAACGTGGCACCTTCAGGCGTTTGGAAATTGCTCCCATGTATGAACCAGACTTGTGGAGTTCCACCATTTTTTTTCTGAGGTCTTGGCTGATTTCTTTTGATTTTCCCATGATGTCAAGCAAAGAGGCACTGAGTTTGAAGGTAGGCCTTGAAATACATCCACAGGTACACATCCAATTGACTCAAATGATGTCAATTAGCCAATCAGAAGCTTATAAAGCCATGATATCATTTTCTGGAGTTTTCTAAGCTGTTTAAAGGCACAGTCAACTTAGTGTATGTAAATTTCTGACCCACTGGAATTGTGATACAGTGAATTATAAGTGAAATAATCTGTCTGTAAACAATTGTTGGAAAAATTACTTGTGTCATGCACAAAGTAGATGTCCTAACCGACTTGCCAAAACTATAGTTTGTTAACAAGAAGTGGTTGAAAAACAAGTTTTAATGACTCCAACCTAAGTGTATGTAAACTTCCGACTTCACCTGTATATACCGGCCCTTTTTCAACAATGCAGATTTAAAGATAAAAAATTATATTAAAAATATAAATAGTGACACGAGGAATAACTACACAGTGAATAACAATGACAAGTAAAAATAACATGGCTATACACAGGGAGTATCATTACCGAGTCGATGTGCAGGGGTTCAAGGTAATTGAGGTAGCTATGTACATATACAGTGGGGAGAACAAGTATTTGATACACTAACAATTTTGCAGGTTTTCCTACTTACAAAGCATGTAGAGGTCTGTACTTTTTATCATAGGTACACTTCAACGGTGAGAGACGGAATCTAAAACAACAATCCAGAAAATCACATTGTATGATTTTTGAGTAATTAATTAGCATTTTATTGCATGACATAAGTATTTGATCACCTACCAACCAGTAAGAATTCCGGCTCTCACAGACCTGTTCGTTTTTCTTTAAGAAGCCCTCCTGTTCTCCACTCATTACCTGTATTAACTGTACCTGTTTGAACTCGTTACCTGTATAAAAGACACCTGTCCACACACTCAATCAAACAGACTCCAACCTCTCCACAATGGCCAAGACCAGAGAGCTGTGTAAGGACATCAGGGATAAAATTGTAGACCTGCACAAGCCTGGGATGGGCTACAGGACAATAGGCAAGCAGCTTGGTGAGAAGGCAACAACTGTTGGCGCAATTATTAGAAAATTGAAGAAGTTCAAGATGACGGTCAATCACCCTCGGTCTGGGGCTCCATGTAAGATCTCACCTCGTGGGGCATCAATGATCATGAGGAAGGTGAGGGATCAGCCCAGAACTACACGGCAGGACCTGGTCAATGACCTGAAGAGAGCTGGGACCACAGTCTCAAAAAAAAACATTAGTAACACACTACACCGTCATGGATTAAAATCCTGCAGCGCACGCAAGGTCCCCCTGCTCAAGCCAGCGCATGTCCAGGCCCGTCTGAAGTTTGCCAATGACCATCTGGATGATCCAGAGGAGGAATGGGAGAAGGTCATGTGGTCTGATGAGACAAAAATAGAGCTTTTTGGTCTAAACTCCACTCGCCGTGTTTGGAGGAAGAAGAAGGATGAGTACAACCCCAAGAACAACATCCCAACCGTGAAGCATGGAGGTGGAAACATCATTCTTTGGGGATGCTTTTCTGCAAAGGGGACAGGACGACTGCACCGTATTGAGGGGAGGATGGATGGGGCCATGTATAGCAAAATCTTGGCCAACAACCTCCTTCCCTCAGTAAGAGCATTGAAGATGGGTCGTGTCTGGGTCTTCCAGCATGACAACGACCCGAAACACACAGCCAGGGCAACTAAGGAGTGGCACCGTAAGAAGCATCTCAAGGTCCTGGAGTGGCCTAGCCAGTCTCCAGACCTGAACCCAATAGAAAATCTTTGGAGGGAGCTGAAAGTCTGTATTGCCCAGCGACAGCCCCGAAACCTGAAGGATCTGGAGAAGGTCTGTATGGAGGAGTGGGCAAAAATCCCTGCACAGTGTGTGCAAACCTGGTCAAGACCTACAGGAAACGTATGATCTCTGTAATTGCAAACAAAGGTTTCTGTACCAAATATTAAGTTCTGCTTTTCTGATGTATCAAATACTTATGTCATGCAATAAAATGCAAATTAATTACTTAAAAATCATACAATGTGATTTTCTGGATTTTTGTTTTAGATTCCGTCTCTCACCGTTGAAGTGTACCTATGATAAAAATTACAGACCTCTACATGCTTTGTAAGTAGGAAAACCTGCAAAATCGGCAGTGTATCAAATACTTGTTCTCCCCACTGTAGGTAGGATTAAAGTGACTAGGCAACAGGATAGATAATAGGGATTAGCAGCAGCAGGTAGCCATTTGATTATCTATTTAGCAGTCTTGTTTAGCAGTCTTATGGCTTGGGGGTAGAAGCTGTTCAGGGTCCTGTTGGTTCCAGACTTGGTGCACTGATACTGTTTACCATGCGGTAGCGGAGAAAACAGTCTGTGGATTGAGTGGCTGTAGTCTTTGAAAATGTTTTGGGCCTTCCTCTGACACCACCTGGTATAGATGTCCAGGATGGCGGGAAGCTCGGCCCCAGTGATGTACTGGGCCCTACTCACCACCCTCTGTAGCGCCTTGTGGTCGGGTACCTTGCACTTGCCGTACCAAGTGGTGATGCAGCCAGTCAAGATGCTCTCAATGGTGCAGCTGTATAACTTTTTGAAGATCTGAGGGCCCATGCCACATTTTTTTAGCCTCCTGAGGGGAGAGAGGCACTATCATCCCCTATTCATAACTGTGTGGGTGTGTGGACCATGTTATTTCCTTAGTGATTTGGACACAGAGGGAATCGAAGCTCTCGACCTGCTCCACTACAGCCCCATCTATGTAAATGGTGGCGTGCTCGCCCTTCCGTTTCCTATTGTCCACAATCAGCTCCCTCCACCTTACTCCATCTTCCTCCCTCGTTCTTCCACACATGATGTGAGCTGTCAAAGCACTGCTGTGTCAGATATGTCTCCATGAGTTATGTTGTGTTTTGATTAGTATGAAAAATGTATGCACTCACTAACTGTAAGTCGCTCTGGATAAGAGCGTCTGCTAAATGACTAAAATGTAAATGTAATTAGGCCATGGTCTATGGATTGAGTGTGCAAAGCTGTCATCAAGGCAAACAGTGGCTACTTCGAAGAATCTAAAATATAAAATATATTTTGATTTGTTTAACACTTTTTTGGTTACTACATGATTCCATTTGTGTTATTTCATAGTTTTGATGTAAAAATAAAGAGAAACCCTTGATGAGTAGGTTAACTATATTAAAATAGAGGACCTACTTCTTTCCACATGTAATGTCAGTCTATAGATTCCACACCAGAAATATGAGAAGGTTGGAATTATTTTCAGTCTCAGTGACTTATGGTATTTCCTCCAGTGACTCTTGATCCACAAATCCCATGTGCTACCAGGGTTTTAAACTGATAAATATGTTTGCTCTGGTTAATGTTAAATGGACACCTATCAATCTTTCTGCCTCTAGCATACACTGAGTACATGACAGTTGGTCTGTTTACATTTTAGTCATTTAGCAGATGCTCTTATCCTGAGCGACTTACAGTTAGTGAGTGCATACATTTTCATACTGGCCCCACCGAGGGATCGAACCCACAACCCTGGCGTTGCAAGCGCCATGCTCTACCAACTGAGCTACACGGGGCTCAGTTCTGGTCTCTATTGACTTACATGGGAAAGAGTGTGCTCAATGTCAACACTAGATCAATGAGACTTGAGGGAGTAGATCAAGTTCTACTCTCTAATTTAGATAATATTTTTATCCCATCACACCTTATTAACTTAAAGTACATTCCGATTGTAGAGCCAAAAACATATTTTTTGCTTGAACTTCTAGAGCCAACAACTTTCTTATTTTGTGTATGGTGCACAGATAAATCAGCGTACTGTCATATTCAGCTGTATGACCTTTGCCCATTTCTTGGACTTGGCCAGCAACCTCACACCCCTCATCCAAACACATCAGCTACGAGACCTGGTAAAAGAGGTGAGAAACCACATGTATCTCAGTCAACAATCAAATACATTTGATTTAGGCTTCAGCAGTGATGTGACTTTGTATGTGTCTGGGCTTGTGATGGCCGTGCTGATGTTTGTGATTGTACCAGTGTTGCTGATAGACCCCATACTAACAGACACATTGTTGCCATTGTTGTAAACAGATGCCCGTGCTGAATCCCCATCACCTGAAGGGCCATCGGAAGCTGAGGCTGGCTCACCTTGAGCTATGTCTGGCAGGTAAAAAACAGCTCAGCATGAACTTTAACCTCAGACTTGAATACTGGAATATGTCCCATTGATTGTTGGCATGGCTATTGTTTGTGTTGATTAAACTCTCCCCAAATCCCTGGCTCTGCCCTACTGGCTGGTCTCCCAGAGACTCGGCCTGCCCCCCATCCTGACCTATGCAGACTCTGTTCTGGCCAACTGGAGACTAAATAACCTACAGGGTGAGCTCGGCCTTTGAACCTTACCCCCTGGTCTGTCACTACCCCATAGCTCTTCCCCCTTGAACACTTTCCTTTTAACCCCTACCCAAAATGCCACTACACCCTTGTCCACTACCATCAATTCTACTAACACCACAGGACCATGTACTGTTTAGGAAAAACATGTATTGACATTCTTTCTTAAACTTGTCATTTCAGGGACATGGAGATTGGGTGAATATCAAAGAAACACTGTCATGAGAATTACATTTGAATTTCTCTCCTGTAAATTCCTGTTTTTGGTTCTGTTTATATGTGGTTTCCATGTGATATTCATGTGGTTTTGAATATAGGAACTTGGATACACTGTTCTCTTTCCCTGGGGGAGAAAGCTGTAAAGGCTTGTTCCTGGTCTCTGTCTTGGTGGAGAGGGCTGCTAGCTCAGGAATACAGGAAAGTCTCTGTGTGTCTCTGTCTTTCTTTCTCTGTATCTGTCTCTATCTATGTATCTCTCATACACTTTGTATCTCTCTGTCTTCCTCATTATAACCCTGTTTCTCCCTCTGTCTCTTTCTGTCTTTGTGATCTCTTTCTGTCTTTCGCGGTCTCTTTCTCTATGAATCCTAAGGGGAGTCTGATTATTAGTCCTACTTGTCCTAAATTCCATCCAGTGGGGGCGGTTTCAGCAGGGACATTTCCACCCCGTCCACAGTGAAAGTTGACCCCTGGGTTTCAGTGATGAATGCCACGGTAACCTGTAACATCATCAGCATACAGAAGGGCCTCTACAAAGTGGGTCAGTCTCTGAGGAAGATGAAGGAAATATTTGAACTCATGCACAGTAAGTTACATCCACACCTCATCCACAGTGAATCATATCCACACCCATAGTATAAGTGCAATTGGAATATTATTGTAATATTTATATTTTCAGTGCACGTGGACCCCACTGCATTCCATGGAACTCGGAGAATCTTCTTCTCAGGGTAATGTATGATTCAATCTATACATATCCACTCCGTTACGCACCCCATTCTGTGCTGTAATAGTTTGATACATACACTACTTGACCAAAAGTATGTGGACAGCTGCTCGTCGGACATCTCATTCCAAAATCATGGGCATTAATATGGAGTTGGTCCCCCCTTTGCTGCTGTAACAGCCTCCACTTGTCTGGGAAGGCTTTCCACTAGATGTTGGAACATTGCTGCGGGGACTTGCTTCCATTCAGCCACAAGAGCATTAGTTAGGTCGGGCACGGATGTTGGTCGATTAGGCCTGGCTCGCAGTCGGCGTTCCAATTAATTCCCAAAGGGGTTGAAATCAGGGCTTTGTGCATGCCAGTCAAGTAGTTCTACACCGATCTCAACAAACCATTTCTTGATGGACCTCGCTTTGTGCAAGGGGGCACAAAAAAATTTATGCACGCATGACTGTAAGTCGCTTTGGATAAAAGCGTCTGCTAAATGGCATATTATTATTATATTATATTGTCATGCTGAAACAGGAAAGGGCCTTCCCCAAACTGTTGCCACAAAGTTGGAAGCACAGAATTGTCTAGAATGTCATTGTATGCTATAGCGTTGATTTCCCTTGACTGGAACTAAGGGGCCTCGAACCATGAAAAACAGCCCCAGACCATTATTCCTCCTCCACCAAACTTTACAGTTGGCACTCTGCATTTGGGGAGGTAGCGTTCTCCTGGCATCCGCCAAACCCAGATTTGTCTGTCAGACTGCCAGATGATGAAGCGTGATTCATCACTTCAGAGAACGTGTTTCCACTGCTCCAGAGTCAAATGGTGGCGAGCATTACACCACTCCAGTCGATGCTTGGCATTGTGCATTGTGATCTTAGGCTTGTGTGTGGCTGCTCGGCCATGGAAACCCATTTCATGAAGCTCCAGACCAACAGTTTTTGTGCTGACGTTGCTTCCAGAGGCGGTTTGGAACTTGGTAGTGAATGTTACAACCAAGGACAGATGATTTTTACGCGCTATGCGCTTCAGCACTCGGCGGTCCCGTTCTTTGAGCTTGTGTGGCCTACCACTTCGCGGCTGAGCCGTTGTTGTTCTTAAACTTTTCCACTTCACAATAACAGCACTTACAGCAGTTACAGTTGCAACCATGCAGGTATGGTCCCATTCTGACCAGATAAGCCTCTCTTTCTGAATCAAAAGTCAAGTGAATTTTCAGTGATATTTCAATTTAGGTTCTAATCAAAGCGTATCTCCCCTCTGATCTCACCTCTTCATTCGCCTAATTTCTCCTCGGTCGTTCCTCCTCTCCATCTCTCCATGTACAGCATCTTTCCTGAAGCGCATGCGGGAGTACATACTTCATTCCCACCACCAGCTGATAGAGACTCTGACTGGCTGTCCCCCTCTAGGTGACTTTGTCCTCTCCTGCTCCAGCCCCTCACTCTGCATCGCCTATAACTGCTGTTTGTCTGCCCTGATGGATCTGCGGAGTTACCACTTCTCCGCCGTGGCCCGATAAATAACTGTACCTGGTCACCAGGCCCGTGCCATGGGCTGTCTGCTCAACGGTGGATAGCAACGGCACCGGCGGCTCCAGGCCACTGCCCTTCCTAAAGACCATCCGTGATGCCATCCAGAGAGCACTGATCTCACAAACAGAGAAATGTCCTCTGGTCTGATGAAACAAAAATAGAACTGTTTGGCCATAAAGACCTTCGTTATGTTTGGAGGGAAAAAGGGGGTTGCTTGCAAGCCGAAGAACACCATCCCAACCGTGAAACACGGGGGTGGCAGCATCATGCTGTGGGGTGCTTTGCTGCAGGAGGGACTGGTGCACTTCACAAAATAGATGGCTTCATGAGGAAGGAAAATTATGTGGATATATTGACATATCAAGACATCAGTCAGGATGTTAAAGCTTGGTCGCAAATGGGTCTTCCAAATGAACAATGACCCCAAGCATACTTCCAAAGTTGTGGCAAAATGGCTTAAGGACAACAAAGTCAAGGTATTGGAGTGGCCAACACAAAGCCCTGACCTCAATCCTATAGAAAATGTGTGGGCAGAACTGAAAAAGCGTGTGCGAGCAAGGAGTCCTACAAACCTGACTCAGTTACACCAGCTCTGTCAGGAGGAGTGGGCCAAAATTCACCCAACTTATTATGGGAAGCTTGTGGAAGGCTACCCAAAACATTTGAGCCAAGTTAAACAATTTAAAGGCAATGCTACCAAAAACTAATTGAGTGTATGTAAACTTCCGACCCACTGGGAATATGATGAAATAAATAAAGTTGAAATAAATAATTCTCTCTACTATTATTCTGACATTTCACATTCTTAAAATAAAGTGGTGATCCTAAATGACCTAAGACAGGTAATTTTTACTAGGATTAAATGTCAGGAATACGTATCCATATCAGTGTTGACTGTGTGTGAGCCATGTCTGTGACATCAGTGCTCTCTGGGTGGCATCAGGTATACTCTTTAGGAAGGTGCCGGTGTCATCCAATGCTTGACTATAACTTCAGTTTTCTTGCTGAGGCAGACACTACATAGTTCTTCTAAATATTACTCAAACTAGTTGGCCGTCCCACTTCCAACACTGCCTGGGGCGTTTGAGTATGATGATCTATTTTACTAGGAATAACCAAGCAAACAATGTAGAGCCATCAACTAAGCCAACACACTTAAATGCTTTATTTGCCAGTTATTTATGACCTAACAACACAACTTAATGGTAGTGGAAAAATGACAACCTAAGACATTAATCTCCACACTAGCATACCAGACAAAAATGGAAAAACATTGATGCTTTGTTGTGTGACACTATAGTGGTGGTTTCTGTGATAGGTATTGAATTGTTAAACACCTTGCCTTGTTACCTCCATTGTGGGGATCAAACTCTACCCAAAGTGCTTCTTAACCTGCAAGTAGATTGAAGGATTAAGGGATTCTATGCTTGAGTAGAAACACTCAGGCATGAAGTGTGATGTCGGCTGGCTTACAGTAGATAAACCACATGGATTTTCCAGCCATGCTTTTGTATGGGGTCTCAAATGGCCCCCCCAAAATAATGTTTATTCACTGATGTGTGTTATGGTTAACCCTCTGCAGTAGTGGCAACAGTACTGGGTCGGCTTGGTAAAAGGGATTGAAAGTGAATGGTCCTATGATATGCACCGGACACTAACAGGATAGGACCTGGCTGATTTCAATACAAATCCTTCACTGATGTGGTAAACTGCAGTAGGCTACATGCCTCAGCATTGCGTCACATTTCAACTCTAAATATCAGTACGCAGTTTGAGAGGTCTTCCCTTATCCAGTATCCTTTATGACTTGAGGCTAGATCCAATCAGATCAAGCGTTAACCGGTGATAGACCGACACCCTCATAGCTGATGTTTTGGCGGTGTTTGAGGTGTAACTGCGTTGGAGCGGTCAAATTGGTGAGCCGCTGCTCTTGATCATTGTCACAAAACCACACCCGTCTCACTCGCGTTAGAAATCCAGAACAAGAAATTGTAAACTATAGAAATAATGACGCTCAAATTGAAAATCATGAAACAAAATAATGAGGATTTATATCAGTCTAATCGAGGTGTAGGGGAGAGTGGGGTAAGTTGAGCTAAAGGGGTAGGTTAAGCCACCCTTGTTTCTAGGAAACCATGCACAAAACACATAATTTGACCAAATAATTAGGAACAGGTCATGTCTGTGAAGTCTGTGAAGGAAGAAACCACATGGAAAAAGTAGTAAAGAAGTTAGGTCCAAAAAACTTTTCACCTAGTCAAATTCATTCATTTATTGTGTTGAGGTTTCATGATGCTTGTATCTAAAACAAAGTAGATAACATTAAGCTTGTTCTATACATAGTTGGGGTCTCTATAAGCTTCAATATCAGGTCCTAAACCTAGCATGAAAGTGCATCCTTGTAGCTGTGTGGGTTAATATAGTCAAAATGTTTGCCTTCGGGTAAGTTGAGCCAATAGCTATGGGGTAAGTTGAGCCAAAGGTTGAGTCAATGGCAAGATGAGCATTATCACTGGGATATGAGGTAACAAAAGGGCATGGCTTATGTTAAAAGTGTTTAAAAAAGTACAGTGTTAGGTGTTAAAAGATGCTTAAAAAAAATGTAAGACCAAAAAGCGATTGTGTTTAATTGTCTTTGGAAAGTCAAGTTTTAAAAAGGTTTTAAAAAGGTATGGTCATATTTTATTCAGTACAGAAATCTGTAGGCGGATTAATTTACCCAGTCCCGCGGATCAATTTATCACATAAAATAAAGCTATATTTTCAAAACTGTAATGTTTACATTAATTCTGGTTATTTCCCAGGGATACACAACATCATGAAATATATGTAGATGTCTTTGTTAGAAATAATGCTATATTTCCCTTGACGGAGTGATGCTGACTGTAAAAAATTGCTACATTCACCCCACTCTCCCCTACATTACATTTCACATTATGGTGTTCAAACTTGTAAAGGCTCTATGGGATTTCTCTCAATGCGACTCCGTGCAGCCAATGGCAGTGTCTGCTTTAGGTATAATGCCAGGAGCTAATTGTGGATTTGACAGCTCTAACGCAATTCCACCTCTGACACCTCCAAAACAACCGCTATGTGGATGTCGGCTAAAGCGGATCTGATTGAATAGAGCCCTAGATATCCCAGTAGTGGATAGAGCAAGAATGGGCAGAAATGCCATCATTGCCCGACATTAACCTTCAGTTGTGGGGATGTGGATGATGAAGGGAGATTTTCTATTCCATTTGATTTTGCCTGGAAAGGTGACACGTACAAAAGCACAACTTAACTCAGACACTATAAATGTCCTTAGGGACCTGAGCCAATGAGCTTGTGTCAATGATCCAACCTGTTTCACCATGGTAACCGTGGTTTCACAGTAGCTCTGGGAAGTGAGGGATGGAGCGATATAGGGAGGAAGGTAGAGAGAGGGAAATTACACCCTTGAATTTAGGCGTCCAAGCTGACAGCATCTGGGCAGCAAGAGGCAGGCTGGAAACTGGCCAACCTCAGGGCACACCAGTGGTGGCCCTGCCAGAGAGTGAGCCAATCACATTTAGAGAAAGAGAGTGAGAGAGACTTCTGAGAGTGACTAGGCAGACCTCAAAACAATCCAACACTGCAGCTGAGCCCTGGTCATGCTAGGAGCCTTACTCAACAAGACAATGAAAGGAGCATGGATTAGGAGCGGTACAGTAGCATGCTAGCCCTGTGTAGCTCAGTTGGTAGAGCAGGGCACTTGCAACGCCAGGGTTGTGGGTTCGTTTCCCACGGGGGGCCAGTATGAAAAAAAAAATATATGTATGCACTCACTAACTGTAAGTCACTCTGGATAAAAGCATCTGCTAAATGACTAAAAATGTTAAAAACCGATTGGTTCTCAGATGGTCCAAATATGTATGATCTGTCAACATTGTGTCGTTTCAAATTGTCACTGCCCAGCAATTCACATAGTATACCTTATAATAATGTCAGCACACTTCTTATAATTCTATTGGTTTTATTGAAAATGCATTTGTTGTGAGGTAAAAACAGTACAAAATGCATAATATTGCACATAAATGAATTGCACTTCTTTAAGGGACAGCCATGTGTCTGTCCTTCAGTATGCTACAGATGTAGGATCTTAATTTGATCACTGTTTTGTTGCTGAGAATTTTCCTGCACAGCAAGAAATTCTAAAGTTTGTAATTTCTACTTTAAAATGTCAGACTTGATTTGCCATAATGAAAAATCTGTCAACCCCTACAAAAAATGTAATTAATTATAATCCACATAATAATCCACATTTCCTATTGCTGCAGGAGTATTTTCCTGCAGTAGCAAACTGGCTCAAATTAAGTTCCTTCATCTGTACAGTAATAATGAAGGACTTGGTAACCCAGTCAAGAAGAACAGATGTGTGATTGAATCACTTGATGTCAGTGTGACATTTTTTATGTGAGATTGAAGTTATTATCCATAAAATATTAGGTTCAATAAGTGAATGGTTTTAGTTGCTACATCAACTGAATTTGTCTGATACCAAAGTCCCTATTCATCACTGGCCTAAAAATATAAAGATTGAATACCTTACATGCTTATGTATACTGTACATAGCCCTTCTTTATTGTTGCAAGTTCAGTGCATGGATTGCTTCTCCTGGGTGGTGAGTTGATTTCACCCCTAATTTAATCATATAGGAGATGGTAATCAAAGGCGTTTGGTGCTGATCATTGTTAATCAAAATTATTGGTGAGTTGCAGACTTACAGCATTACGTGAAGGACCATATGGTCTGTGATGATGATCAGTTGAGCCAAGTGAGTTAGAATATGAAATATATATTCCAGAGAGAATAGTGATGCATTTCATAATTTCCTTACAGTACAGTTCCTTGCTGTTGGTGAGAGTAAATTAGTGAGATGTTAACCTGTGTGTAAGTGAAAGGCAATGACAGCTTTGTGCATGTGAATTGATAAAGAAGTATCAAAACCATGCTTACTTTTTCA